ACAAATTTTATGACTTTACCTTCAGGCAACCTCTATGATCTACGAGCCCAAAAATCATTCTCACTTCCCCCTAAAAGGTTCATCTCTTATTAACAGTACTTCTGTAAAATTTCCAGTTTCCTCAATATATTTTCCCAAGAAACTAAATTACTTGTGACAGACAGAACCCACTAACCCAACTGGAAAATCCTCTAGCCTCTGCCTATTAGGCAGGTCTTTCTTTGCACAATGAGGCAGCTTAGCCAAGTGGTTAGGGTGCTATTCCCAAGTCCTGTTCTGACCACTAGCTGCAATCATTTCACAGTATACAGAGTTTAAAGGTCAGCACACACAAGGGGAATAGCCCCTGCAACTAGTCCCTGCAACTAGTTCCCTGAAGAAAATTTAAACCAGCTTGAATTCTTGGGACTAGTTGCAGGGACCAAACTTTGGTCCCTGCCACTAGATTTTGAAGCAAAAATGGCCAGCTCACACGATGGGACTTGTCCCCGTGACTTTGTTGCAGGGACTAGTCGCCTCATGTTTGCCGACCTTAACCCTGGACCACACTTATATTTAAGGCCAGCTGGTCTGCCTTCTGCCAGTTGGGAGTTTTAGCTTTGCAGGGGTTTCATCAATGTTTTCAGCAGGAGGGTAACTGGTTTTCACAGGCGGGCAAAACATTTTGAAATGACCTCCTAAAAAAGAAAACCTCTCTTTCAGATGGTCCAACTAGGCGGGCAAAATCGTCTTCACAGCCATTCAATTTGCCCAGTGCCCTGCCCTTAGCGAAACATCTGATTTTGTCATGTTAAAATTTGAAATATTTGTTTGTGTGTTTAAATGCACTTGTGCAAGACCTGTCAGTGGGGGGGAGGGGGCGGATCCCTTATCGAGGATAATTTAACGAATATATTTTAATTATTTAGAAGAGATGCATGTCTTCAATACAGTGTACTTGTTTGGCCTGTTGGCAATGATACTGTATGTTTTGTGCCAGATCTAGGACTTATTGACCACCCT